TTTCAATCAGGACAAATCTGCAGAGTTTTCTTTGGGATCCAGCGTTGGAGTGAAGAATAACATCTACGCCGTGTTGGTGATGGGACTATATGAAGTCCTGATGGAGTATAACTTCATCAAAGCAAACTACAAGTAAAAATCCACTCTTTTCAGGGTTTTTGTTAGAAAAATTAAATCATCCAATTGTTCTTAGATAACTTTTCTATATACTTTGTCCTTAATATAATTCTATTGTTGTAGGCTGAGAACAGTTCTTGTTTTGTTATTAGTAGGATTTACTTTCAAAATAATAACTCGATAGTAGAAAGAACAAGATCTTGGTTTCTTGAAATCAGTGAAACTTCTGTAAAATCTTCTGTTTTACAGTTTTGTAGTTGAATTAAAAAGAAGTGCTAATGAGCTGTTGTCTCTGTCTTGCAGTAAGAGCCGCTTCGAGGAGCTTCTTGAGCTCTTCAACAAGCACCACAAGCTGTCCGAGATCTTGAAGGAGAAATCTGGAAAGGGTCGAGCGCCGTCACACAAGACTCCACGCAGTTTACTCTCCATGGGCTTCGTCTCAACTCTCATCACCGTCCTCTTCAGGTCAGATCTCTTAACTGGAACGCTTTCTGTGGGGTCACTGTGTTTCAAAAAGTGGTGATCAGAACCTTCTGTTTTTAAAGGTCCCTTTCAAAGCCTTTAAATGACTTTAATCTTTATTGCAGAATCATTGTCTCAGACTAAAATATGTAGAAACAAACAAAGTTTTAAAGGTCCTATATCTGTTTTTTTAAGCATATAATCACCTATAGGTAATGACATGATATAATACACTACATGGGTATTAATTTATGTAAGTTTCCAAGAACAGGGAGGGACTGCTGTCAGATAGCAGAACTGACAAGGATTATTCAGATATGAACCAAACAAGTGAAATACCACCTTGTGCATGGATGTGATGAATGAATTGCATCATAACATAATTCATGAATATATTATGTATTTTATACATAAAATTATATTAAACATTAACAGCTTATTAGCAACCCTTACATTCCTTAAATATATGTGCAAAATTTTCTAAATATACACACTAATTCTTTACCAATTGCTGTCATGTTTGCCTCTATAAAATGGTTTGTCATGAAAAAAAAGAGCAAACCTTAGCCAATCAAATACATTAAAGCATAAATGAACTAGTTAATGCAACATTAAGCCTAAAATAAAAATTATTACTCCGTTTATAACAGACATCAAAATGATTCTGTTCGGATTTATTCAGATATGAGCAGATTATCCCTTCTGCTGTTCAGGATGAGCCGCACCTAAAGGGGAACGCTGCTTTATAGTGCAAGTTTTGATGATCTTAAAATAAATATTTCCTCTATGATTCAAAATGGAAAGTTTTTCATTTGTTTTGGCTACTGTTATAAAATGGAAATAATGATCAACCACAGAAGCAAATGAGGTTTACTTTACTTGACCCGAGGCAAACGTGTCTGGATGAGGATCAGACCTTCACTTCTGCTATTGTATGAGGGATAGTAAGTTATGGAAGGTACAGCAGGAGATTTTTATTAAAGGCTTTTTTTCAGACATTTTAACTGAGTTTAAATAATATTGGGGGAGGCTGTAGTCACTACAGCAGTGGAGGTATTTTATACCAAACGACATGATCTTTGCCATAAAAGCGACTTCTTTTATCGTAAATATTTTTTTACGAACTTTCCCTGAAAGCTTGAACCCTTGAAATGTTTTTCTTCTCCAGAGATAACAGTCAAAGCAGAGAGGAGGCTCTGTCTGTGCTCCGATCAAGCGGGGAGTTTGTGCGTTACGCTCTGTGTGTCGCGGTTCAGAAGATCCAACAGCTGGAGGAAAGCGGTCACACGGACGGTCCAGATGGGCAGCATTCAGACAAGACCTTCCGCTTCCTCTGCGACATGACTAGGTCCGACATCACCGCGTCTTATTAGTGCTTTAGACTTTGTAGTTTGTAGTTTATGAGTGTGTGGGTGTTTGGCAGTGTGCTGATGTGGCGTTACACTAATATCCCTGCTGCGGTGGAGGAGGCAGGGAGGAAGGAGAAGCGCTGCAGCTTGTCCCAGCTTTGTCTGGAGGGTCTGCTGCGGATCTTCACCACCTGCCAGCAGCGTTACCCAGAGAGGATGGCCCAGCTGCTTTCTACCATGGGTTAGATATACATTGTGAAGATACTGAAAGTTCTTGCTAAAAAGTAGGGGACCAGACATTTATATTTGAATCTCATGCAGACATGGCAGAAGATGAAGCTGAGCAGGACGATGCTGCAGAGATGAACTACTTTTACATCAGACAGTTCCAGGTCTGAATCGTCCTCCTTTACTAAAGATCCACCTCAGATGACATGTGGTTTTCCCAACATTTTCTCTGAATGTATTTTTTTTGCTCGTTAACAGAGGGCGCTGTTCACTCAGTTGAGTGGAGGAGAGGAGGAATTTAACAGCCGAGAAGCTCAGCTGCTGGTCAGCATTTTGACCGTGCTTTCCCGTCAGCTGAAGCCCACCTCTAAACAGGCACGTCCCCCTGATGCATGGAAACGTCAGTCAGAGAAGCAACTGTTTTATCTGACTGGTTTTCTTTCAATTTACAGTTTACTCAGATGATCACCTGGACAGTAAAGATCTGCAAGGAAACTAGTTTTGGTTGGTGCAGTTTTCTATCTGTCAGCTTACTAAGGGCACAGAAACAAACCTGGAATTGAACTCCTTGTGTTTTTGTCTTTGCTGTTCTAGAGGACTCTGCCTTCTGTAAGGGGCTCCTGTCCCTTCTCTTCAGCCTGCAGGTCCTCTACAAGAGTCAAACGGGCCTTTTGCTGGAGCTTTGTCAAGACATTCACAGCCAGTTGGGAGATATTGATCAGGTGATTAAAATTTCACTGTTCGAAGATTTAAGGTACATTTACTTTGGCTTTATAAGTCAAAAATGAATTAGTTTTGAGTGCAGAACTGGGGGATGCTGACAGCCTTTTATTATACGGCGTTAAAATGGTTTACTTTCCTATCTGTGTAGTCTCCTTATGGGAAGCAAACTACACTTTAAAGTAGGGCTGGGCGATAATTCAATAACGATATATATCGATCGATAGACGTGTGGCGCAATTGAAAATTCCATTTATTTATTTGTTATATTTATTTTGGTCACTTTTCTGGTCACTTTAGTTTATTCTTTGTCAGTATTTAAGAACATAACTCAGGTCTTTTAAGTTATTTTTCTTTAAAACAATTCTGTTATGGTTAAAAAAGTTGGTTAAATCAAGATTTAATTCGCAGTCTGTGTTTGTGTTCTTTATTAAAATTAAATCATTTAGCGATATCATAAAAAGTCCAGGCAGAGCTGCACATAAAATATGGTTTCAAATCTTTTCAATAATTATTGATATCGATCAATATGCATTTTTTTTTTCTATATCGCCTGGCCCTACGTTATATATGACTATTTATCTCTCTTATCAGGATGTGGAGGTGGAAAAACAGTCTCATTTTAGCATCATCAACATGAAAACAGCAACGACTGCAGCAGTAAGTGTGGTATTTGCTACTGAAAACGTTTGGATTTGTTGTCTCTATTTTAACCTTTACCTCTCGCCCCAGCTGCTGGTCCTGTCTCAAGTTGACCGGGTTCTTGATGAAGTAGACTGGCTTATCACCAGAAAGAAAACTCAAACAGCCTCTGATAAACCTGCCTCTGGTAGGATCTGTAGTTATTTATTTTCTCAAAGATGCCTAGTTGTATGATGTATCAAAGCTGCATAGCTTGAACAGCCGTGGATCTTCTCCGCTTATAGCCGAGGCCTCCCAGGCTGCAGCTCAGCAGGATCCAGTTGAGAAGGCAGTGACTCTGCAGCTGGGGACCCTCCTGACCGCATTAAATGAGCTGGTCCAGACGGCTCTGCTGCCTGGAAACTGCACCATAACACTGCTGAGAGAGCTGAGCCGTACTTACACCATCCTCACCACCCTGGTCAAATATGTGCGTATCATCTGACCCTTACAGCGATCCTTTGTGCTCAAACTTTACTGACATCTCCTTCTCTTAAATCCACATTGTAGTATATCCAGATGTGTGCCAGCCAGCATGGATATTTGCCAAATAGATTTGAAAAATTGGTAGGTTTGAACTATCATTTGAAATTCCTCTATTCTTTCCTTGTATCACACTAATTTGATGCTTTTTCTATGCAGGTTAAACTCTCCGGTTCCCACCTGACGCCTCAATGCTACTCCTTTATCACATATGCCCAGGTACCATCCCCATCAGATCGGTGTCATAAAAACTAGCTGGGGAGCATGATGTTTATTTGTTTTTCTTTGGTTAGAGTGGAGAGTCCAGCTTCGGGGATGACAAGAAGAAAAAGAAGAGGAACGAGGTGAATACCGCTGCTTCGGTGAGGACTTAAACCACATTCCTGTTATAACTCTAAATGCCATTTTTATGATGTTTGGTTAATTCATGAAGTTTCATTTCTAAATATAATTTAACTGAACTGTTAGAGGGTCACTAAAAGCCCCAAATGTTCCACATTGAACCCTGTCGTTTTCTTGGCAGGCAAAGCTGCTGCGTGAAACAAAGGCCATCCCCAACCTTATCTTCAGCATTGAGCAGTATGAGAAGTACCTCATCACACTCTCCAAGAAATCAAAGGTTTTTGGAAACAATTTTATAGAAACAAAATACATATTTAACAAAAATAAGTGTTGTTCAGACAGAGCTTGTGCAGTGTTTAACGATTGGGGTCCATTCTTCCAGGTCAATCTGATGCAGTACATGAAGCTGAGCACTTCAAGAGATTTCCGCATCAACGCTGCTACCTTGGATGCAGCTCTGCAGGAGCAGGAGGAACCAGAGGAGGTCAACAGAAAGCTTTCTTCCTTACCTTCAGTCTCTAACAAGTTTACTCCTAATGTTACAAAAAGAGAAAAGTATATGATTTTTGTTTTCCAGATTCTGCTCCATTAATGTCTCTTTTCTCTTATTTCAGACTCAGGAGTCACAGGAAACAGAGGAGGCACAGGAGCCCAAACAGAAGAAAAGGAAACAGTGATCTGGAAGGATTTCTCCTCTCTGCATCATTAAACCCAACCTGTTGATGTTTAAGAGGAGCAGCCCCAGAAGCTGCTACCTCCCTTTGCTCAGAGAGCCTTTGGTGATGCTGATGATCTGGTAGATGTCCAGGGCCTCGCCTGTGGGAAATTTTGCACACTTTATTTAATAAGCAATTACAGTTATGTCACTTTGTTATAAGACCATTCCTTAAATATTAACAAAACAGTTTAAACGGTATTAAAATTGGAATTAGTTTTTCCTTATTCTCCATTGTTGAAAAATGTGTAAATAGTTTAGCTTGTTCTTTTCGATTCCCTTATAAACATTCTCCTTTTATTTGAGTAAAAAAATAATAAAAAAAACCAGTAAATGTGCTGCATAGCAAGATGATTTATACACACTAATGGGTGCAAACACAATGTTTTCTTTTATTATTGCATGTTTGATTATTAACTTTCTTGCTAGTTAAGTTACAAAGAAGAAAAATCTTATTTTTAAGCTATTTAAAACAATAAAACTAATGGAGAAATCCGACAGCTGAATAACATCAACTAGTGCTGTGAATATTTTAATATTCTTGGCTAAATAAATTGTTCTTTAAAATCTTAGACTTCCTCCTGTCTTCTCTCTGTATTAAAGCGCTCAACTAACAAATCCTGGTATTTAAACCAAAATAGCTCACAAAGCTGTTCAGAGCTCACCAGGTGGAATACCGTATCTCCTTTCCAAACCGGTGGGGTTAGAAGGAGTCACACAATCCATAGTGACCTCCTTCCTCAGACACTGATCGATATCCACTGCACTGAAGAACGCTACAGACTGGGGAAGATCCTCCATGCCCAAAGCATGGGCAAACATGCACCTGCCATGAAAAGCATCAGCAAATGTTTATTTTCACAGTCCTACAATGGAGATGTCGGTAAATATCAGGGGTCTAATTTATAAAGTTTGTGTCGGACAAAACGGGACCTGAAACATGCAAACACTGACTTCCACGCAGAGGTTGTGATTTATGGCGGTAAAAAAAGTGGGAAATTTGGGACACAAATGTTTACCGAGAACTGAAGCCAGCTTGCGTCATAATTTTTCACTTAGATGTTTAAGTTCACTACGTATCAAATCGTAGATCGTCTTTAATCAGCAAATGCAGCGTGTTTGCTGAGTGCATGCTGGCACTGCTAATCTGATCCATCACAAACAAAAGCCAGCTTAAATTAGACCTCCAAATCCACATAAACGTTTCCTCATCATCGCTTCCTCTCTCCAATGATCATCAGGGCGAGTTGTACCACAGTTTAAAGAATAAATGTCGAGGTGTGAGGATTTCACACAAATTACTGTAAACATTTAAACCACCCTTGCGTAATGGATGATTAAACGATACTGGAGACTTTGGAAATGGAAAGATTAGGAGTGAAAGATTTTCAGGGATTAATGTTTCCTGAACCACAATAATGGGTCTGGATCAGCTGATCAGACTCCATAGAGCATTGCTGCCATATCTATGAGCTGAACTGGGTCCAGTCCTGGAGAGACCAACCAGTGCAAATCTGCCTGGTGACTTTATTAATCTGATCCCTCCACATCAGGCCATTTATTTACAGTGGCAACCAAATATATGTATCTGACTTTCCACTTCTCACCAACATCTTAGCGGAGCTGCACTTTTTTCCGCTCTCACTGCTGCGGTTGCCATCGGTAACCATTAAATAACATTGATCAGCTGGTTAATTTAAATACACTATAACATTCATGCAGTCTTTAGATCATTTATGGTTGAATGAGGCCGTGTAAGGGCCAAACATGAAGTGCAGCTTTGGATGCAAACTTTGATGCACAGCTTTGATCTATAAAGAAAACATTTCTGCGTTTTGTGCATGCACATAGTTTATAACTCTACTTTTTTTTTTTTTTGCCGTACCACATTTTGTTGTTTTTTTTGCATGAGTACGCATTTATAAATGAGACCCCTGAACTGTTCTGCACAAATACCTTGTAAGCAGGTTTGTGATTTGGAGCGCCAGCGCTGCTCTGTAACGGTCTTCGCTGCGAACGAGGTACCGCACTTCATCGTGGATGCTGATGCAGAAACGGCCGTCGATGTTGTACTCTTCAAAGAGCCACTTCATGGCCACCAGCATTAGGTGCAGGTAGTCCACCGCCGAGCTCTGCACCGCCCAGTTCACTCTGCTAGTGATAAACTAGGAAAATAACATAACATGGGTCAACAAGATAGCAAGGCAAGTATCCCATTAGTTAAAAATGAGGAATCCACTGAGAAATTAGCAGCTGACTAAAATCTGTTTAATGAGCGGACATTGTATCGTACATAGGCTGTATCTGCACTGAAAACACTCTTCAGTGTGGAAGTTGTGGGGGACACAAACAGAGTCAGTTTTCTGTAAGTTATCTGCAACATCCTGCTTCCCAGGAGTTGGAATGTGAAGCGACATGGAGTCTTTTCTCCTACATATTCTTCAAAATGGAAAAATAAAAGCACATAAAGATAGATAATATCAGAATTATTGGTAAAGTGGCAATTACCAAAAGCGTGTGTAATATAATGCCTCTGATGCCCCAGCCATGTTCAAAATGAACTAGATCTGCACGTCTCACCTCATCCTTTACTGCCTTGGGCTCCAGAGCTCTGCTGATCCTGCAGCCTAGAACAGGAGTGGCCGGCTGGGCTGAATGAGCGATACTCTCCAGCTTGTTGAACATGTCTGACTCCGTGCCTCCTGCCCAGACACGTTTGCCAACAACATCCCACCTCTTCCGCCGTGAGCTGACATGGAATGAAAAATAAAAAGTAGACTGTAATTGAAGATGGAACAAATACAGCCTCTGAGATTTATAGTGTTTGATTTGCTTAAGTTACCTTTGCGATGCAAGTCTACTGATCCTTCGCAGCTCCTCCAGCGAGATGCTGCCATTCTCCTCCCTTTGCACATCTATGCCCAGTTCATTGACAAGCCACTCGCCCTCCTCTGATAGATGGTATCTGACAAGAAAAATACATAAACTGAGACAGCCTCCAAACAACCACAAATAATTATTTAATTGCTGGTCTCACCTGCGTACCCCCTTGGTTAAAGCATACATCTGCCTGGCCTTGCTGGCGGCCTCTGTCTGATTGAGGCGGTGGTTGAACTGCATCAGCAGCCTCTCTGCAAACGGCTGCCCCGCCCCGTATATTCGCCCGTAGTTGAACACCTTAGCGTGTTCTCTGCTGATACCCACAGCGTCTGCCGTCCTGCTGTGCAGGTCCGTACCCTGACTCTTCTTTCCCTGAAGGGTCATCCACCCAAAGGCTGTACAACCTAAACCGCAGATGTTTGGCAATATTAGATGAATAAAAGAAAGAAAAAAGCATTTTTCTGCAATGAAGCCCAATTTAATGGGGGTTATTTTTACCATGCATCCCGGCAAACTGAGCTTCTCCAAGTACAGCAGCAATCCATAACTCCTGAGAGTCTACATCTGCTCCAACCAGGTGATATCCAGGTGGTACCTGCACCATGGCTTTTAGTTCGCTGCCTACCCGGTCCCTCTGAGGAAAAAAAATGATTTATTCCAAGCTGTCTGGTAAAACAATGATTTCACACTCATGAATATGAGTCCAACTCAGGACTTTTAAAGAGTAATTTCAAAATTAATTTTCCTGTGTTGAATATTTAAACTGATGACATCTAGGGTGTGAAAGTACGACGATTGGGTGCTCAACTTTGACTTTACTATGTTGCAGATTTCTCCCAGATCTGTTTGGAGGTTCTCTATTCTTTTCTCTGCATGTTGCACAGAAATCAAGAAGGTTCTGGTATCATTTATCCTGGGCAAAATTTAAATTCATTTAAGAAACTTGGTTTCCTAACACAAACACTTTAAAAGATTGGCTATTTGCATGTTTAATTACCATAAAGTCAGAGTATCTTTCAAGCTTAATATTAGCCTAAGTCCAAAACCAGAAGACCCCCATGGTCATCGTTCAACAAATTGCACAATGAAATCAATTTAGTGAAAGTATGGATTATAAATAAGTAGTAAGGATAAAAAGGGAAAAAAATAAGTTGAAAAATATAAAAATAAATATGTAAAATTACTAAATATAAGAAGATGAAAGTATTTGATGTTTGATCAGGTTTGTGGTGAAACTCCCACCTGTGTCCAGGTTTTTAAGGTAGTCCTTTTTTAAATGCCCTAGTACTACTGGCAGCCATTACCAACTAACCCATAGCATGATGTAGCCACCACCATGCTTGAAAGCTGGTAAAGTGTTTGTCATTATGGATAAACAGCTCAATGTTTGTCTTGTATATAAAAATAAATCTTTATTTTAAATATTTTGGTCAGCACTCTCAGCCCTCTCAGACTATGACTCTGGTGTTCCAGCAGCTTCCAGTTTGTCAGCTATTTTTCTTCCCTCCAAAAGAGGACAGTTTGAGTCGGATGGTATAAACATACAACAACACAAACACATCCGATGTTCTTATGTCTGTTCAAGACTACATATGTATAACTAAGAAGTTTATTAAACCAATTCAAGTCTCTAAGAAATAGAGAAATTCAAATGTTTAACAATAATCTAAGAAAATGAACAAAAGAACTCTGTCTTTAAATGTGTACTTAAACCCAGCTTCCTACCCGGGCATTACTTGCGGTCAGCCAGGTTGGCTCCACGGCCCGCCGGGTTACCGTCCCAGCTGTAATGACCTGAGGCAGTATGGCACCATACTGGCCCTCTTCATCGTAGTCCTCATGCCTGTAGAGGAATCCTAAAGTTAGACAAACAAAGAAACCTTTTTTGTTCTATTTCAACATGCCGTACAAACCTGCTGACGTTACGAGGAAGCTCTCCCTTTCTTAGCCACAGCACCATCTGAGAACTGAGATTAAAAAAAAAAAAAATCCACATTCATCTCTTTTAAAAAGTAATCAGCTTGGATCAGAACATCCAGCAGAACCAGGTACCTTATCCGCTTGTGAGCATTCCTCCAGAAGGACATCGTCTTGTTGATCTCCAGCGCTCGTGTTGCGTTGGTTCCGCTTCTTCCAGCTCTTAGTGTGCCATCCTCCATTTTAGCCAGGAAGTCCTTCGAGAAAGGGCTGCCCACGTTGTTGTGGTTACCGTCCTGTAACTCATAAAAAGTCAGAGTGAGGAAAACCGACCCAACAGAACCATCGACGATACAGAAAAGAGAAAACCGTTGCTTACCTTGTGAGGTAACTTAAAAAACCAACATCCTGGAATATCTACATCTTCGTAGGGGCCGTTTCCATGGTGATAGTGGCAGTGACTCTCCTCACTGACGAAACGGGGATCTTGGGACACCTGGTGAAGAATCAAAGATGAGCAAAACAATGAATGCCATTAAATCTTCACAATGAGAGAGACTTTGTTGATCTACACTGACCTTCTTCAACTTTTTCTCCTTTTTCACCACTCCAGCTCCATTTTCTTCAGAGAGACGTTCTAAAGAACTTAACTCCTCCACCTTTAAGTGCAAAAGAAACAAATAAACATACAAAAAAATTAAAAATCTAAGTCAGAGCAAGTAGCAAGGATCGATTACTAATAAGGGTCAAGCAATTACACCAAAGCTCCGTTATGAATACAATATTTCTATGCTGTTTTTCTGTATTTGTTAAGCTCAGCACCTTTGTCCAAACAGCGCTGTCGGTCCACACAAGCTCATCTGAAGGGTTCAGACACTCAGGTTGCTCCTTGCTGTTCTGCTCACAATATTCTTTGTATACCCTTTCAATTGCTCTGTGGAAATAGAAACACTCTGAAAACTAAGGCTAAACAACAACACAATATTAGAGGATGAATTCTGTTGCAGATTATTTGAGTTTTACAAAAAAGTTTCAAAGTGAAACATCCACAGAGGAAGAATCACATTAAGGAAAAAGAAAATTCCTTGAAAATGAAAACTACAGTCATTGCTACTCTGCATACATATTCATAGACTATAAAGAAGAATAAACAATGAGTTTTTAATGGTGGAAAGATTCAAGGCTGCTATGAAGAGAAATCTCATTCAATTAAATTCATGTAAAATTAATAAAAAACTAATTTGCCTTTTGTTTTAGTTTTTCTGGGTGTTATCAAGGACAGAGCAACTCACTTCAATCAAGAAGTCATTGCTGCTCTACAGAGGAGTGGTATTAAAATCTTTGATCAACTAACAACATCTGAATCAACCCTTCATCAACGGTTCAATTGGTGTCAAACAAAGTGTAGCAAAGGGCCATGGAGCCAGTGCAGAGCTTGTTCAGGAACCGCAGATGGCAGCTGTGCGAGTTTCTGCAGGCAGAAAAAGGGGAACACCCTGATGCTGACCTGTGATCAAGAAGAGCGGCTAAAACATCAACGATGGACTGATGGTCTGCTAGAGTGGCACTCAAAACATGGTCCAGGAGCAACGATACAGGAGCAGTTTGGTGATGAACTGATTGTTTCAGCAGGATAAGAAAACCAGACGGCAACATGATAAGAAAGCAGCTCAGAAACAAAGGCTGATTCTTTATTTTTAAAAGAAACGTTTATTTCTTTATGCTTTGGCTGAATGTTTTCTGGTAGGACCGTGCAAGTGGACCCAGAGCCATGTGAGGGTGAGTGGTACCAAGAATCAATGCTTTGGTATTCCTTCGTCCCAAGAAGAGATTTGCAATATTTTTTACTTTCAACATCACACTGCTGCTTGAGTTTGGCCGTTTTCTTTTTTTATAGATATTCTAATACACTTCCAATTATTTTCTTGCAATGCAAGCGTTTGTGTTTTAGCTGAACAGCACTAAATCATGTACCTGTGTGGGCACAACGACTCCAGTGTGTCCTCCTGAGAATTCAAATTGTCCCTCCGTCCCGGTACCAGATACCCCCAGCCATGTTTCTCTGTGTAATGCAGGGGGAAACCGTCCCACGTCAGACCCATCAGCTTCGGCGTCAGTCTCATCTGCAGGCTGATGAGGCTGGCTCCAGGTGACCAGCAGTCCTCCGACATCTTCTCACACAGCTTACGGTACCACCTGAAGAAAATCAGCCCAAAGAAAGTGTAAGATGATCATCAATAGATGACTGTGGTGGTTTTAGAATAAGCTTACCCTGGATGTCCAGGAAGATGTTGCCTTCTTTTAGGAAGACGAGTCACTGTTTCCTTTAATTTCTCAACAGCCAGCCTGCTGGGGCACGGACCTGCCATCTCCTCCTCAGATGGTGGGCCTGGGTCTGAAAACCAAAACAGGCTGCTTTATTGGAATTGTAACAACTTGCAGAAATGGAGTAAAAGTTAAAGAAAGGTTATACCATCTTCCCAATCTGGAAGAGGGGTGGAAGTCTTTGCCTCATCTGTTTTTTTGGAGTTTTTTCTCTTAGCAGCCATTTTCTTCTGCTTAAACTCCTGAACGTCCCACTCAAGATCCCAAAGCCAGGGGTCGTCTTTGTACCTTAGAATGAAAACCATGAGCTCCAGATCAGGGCTCAGCCAACTTTACAACCTAAAAAACATTGTTGTCTTCAACCCTGTTAGATAAAACATGCCATAAAGGCTAAATTACCCTTTAAAAAAAAAGAAAATATGTTCATTTCATAGAAAGAGAAAGAATGGAAAAAAATGTATCTAAAAATTACAACTAAATAAGTAAATAAAAGTTACTTAAAAATGTGAAAATAGCATGAAAACAATTTGAAAATAAAAAAAGAATAGCGTTTTTATCAAATATTTTTTACTCAAGGTTCTAGAGATATATAGAAAAGACGGCATTCAACCATTTAGCCTGTCTAAATACATCACTTTATGACACAACCTGGAATTAGATGCTATAACAGTCAGCAACACGGAGCTTTAATCAGTTACTTCCTGACCTGTCATCCTGCAGCAGCTGACAGGCATCGTCGGCAAGAGTCATCAGAGACTTCTTCATCTCCCTCTGGAGCTCTTCGTAAACATCCTGAGAATCCTCCAGGTACCGGTCCCAGTTCTGATTGACGGGAAGGTAGCTGACACCCATCTCCAGCATCCCAGCAAACGTCACCGGATGCGGACACCTTACCACACAGAGGAGAGTAGAGCAAGTTTTTAAAAGCAGCTAGTTTAAACACATTTTCATTTTTCAGTTCAGAGATGTGCTGTTTCCCTAAGAACCAAACTAATTTATATGACCATAATGTGGCAGAAACCTAACAGTGCAGATCACAGAGCAAACCTCAATGAAACACGACAGTAGAAGCATCATGCTGTGGGGAAGCTTTACATTAGCAGGTTAGGCAGATTGATCACACATTATGTGGGGAAATAGAGTAAGCATAGAAAAAAAAATGTTCCCCTAAAGTGAAATAAGAATTTAAAGAGAGACCTGACACGTGCGTCTCAATGATTTAGCATAAAATAACATATATTTTTTGGATGTTTAAAGCTGTTAAAGACATAACCAGAGAGACTTCCAGTTTTAAATAAAAACTGTTCTGCGAGGTTCTGACTCAAGTAGGCCAAAAAAAAAACAGAGCCCCATTCATCGGTTTTCTATTCTATGCTGCATTTTAACTGTGCGTTGCCCCATGATGGCCTGTAACAGTGAATTTAAGGATTTAACCTGACAAAATGAGGTAAATGGGTTGATAATTTTGCATGGTTTAGGTAGTTAAAAGTTGGAGGTTAACATTTACAGACCTCTCCATGAAGAGTGGCAGCTGCTCTGAGAAAACCTGATGCGTCGCCTCAACGTCCAATGCGCAGTACTGCATTAACTCCTGTAGGTGGCAGCAGAAGCACACAGGTTCTCCCCTAAGGTCACTTCAAGATGAGCAAAACAAAGTCCTTATGTATTTATTTACCTGGAAGTTGTTCCTGACATCAACCATGCTTCCTTTCACAAAGATGTCTCTGGCCTCTTTCTGCAGCGGTGGTCCTCCCACATAAAGAGCATGAACGTCCGCCAGGTTGTTAATGCTGCTGATGTTCACCCAGTCCCAGGAGCCAATCTGAGCACAAAACATGTCACTTTAAGTTGCAGTGATGCAAAAAAGAGTTCATTTTACAAAAAAAAACAAAAAAAACTTAAAATTAAAAAATTTTACTCAGCAAATTAAATAAATCAGGAATACGAACCGCTGGGCCTTCCCTCTTCTGTCCAGCTTTCTTAATATGCTCCTTAACCTCCTGCAGACCCCTCTTTTTACCCAATTTATTTGCCATCCACAGCGTACGCTGAAAGCCAGTTAACCCAGAGATGGCCATATGAAGGCTCATGGTGTCCATGAAGCGTGCCTTTGGACCCTGAATGGAATAGAGATGGTGGCTTGATCAATATATAGTGTTACAAAAACAACAACAACAAAAAAAACAACAACACCAAACATCCAAACTAACCTTTAGCAGGTACTGCTCCTTGATGAAAGATCTGTCAAAACTAACGTTGTGACCCACTATGAGCCTCTCCTTCCACTCACCCCTCGGAGGACGGGAAGAGTTAAAGGGGGTCTCTAGAGGAATGAGGTCTGCAAGAGTGAGCTGGTTTGACCAGGAGTATCGCTCCTCAATTAGACGCTTGCTGCACCAGGAGTACCTGACCAAACCAAGCATCCAAGGAGGATGTTAGTTACCAAACATAGAATTGCCTTGCATGAGTACTCACAGTAGATTTTCGCATTTTATCAAGCTACAACCTAAAACTTCAATAGGTTTCATTGGGATTAATGTGACATAAAATCCGACCAAAATGTGAAAAGGAAGAACTTTATAAATGGTTTTCCTGTTCTACGCATCATGCACTTCTATGTGTACATTTGGATCATTTCTCACCAGTTGGTGGGAGAAAGAGCTACTGCCAGTGTGGGGCACTGTCCCTCAGTCGTGCAAACCTCCACATCAAACACGAGTGCAGACTCATCTGGGAAATCCACTTTCTGACTGTCCCCCTCACGTCCGTAGCAGGTCCAGCCCACCTCCCAGCTCCATTCCTGAGGCATGGGTGGGAGGTCGGCCTGCAGCAGCTTTGTGGCGGACTCAAGGTAGGGAAGGCTCTGCTTCTCAGCCAAGATGCGAAAGTGCTCGTCTATGTTTTTGCCGTACATCCGGGGAAGTTTGAGCTCCACCTCAGGCAGCAGTGATGTTTCCTTACCCCAGAGATCGTGAGTCTGCAGGTGCTTTATGCTACGCTCCACCGCTTCCTCCCTGTAATCTGGCTCAACGCCATGGAAGATTTGCTCGTGGAGGTTTCTGGAAAGCATCTGGATGTTAAGGGGGTTCATGCGGGTCTCTGTTGAGTCCTCGCCCTGCAGCGAGCAAGTTCTGGTGGAGTAAGACTTTGAACACCTCCATCGCAGGAAGAAAAACGTCCTCTGGAGAGGAGAGCGTAACAGATGCAACATCACCTCATGCGGACATCTCAACTGAGCTGTGGAGAAAAGAAAATAACTATCCTGACATAGGTTTCTTTAAAATATAAATATATATTTGAATCAGTGACGCCACCACTATCTCTTTAAAACAAAATGTTACATCATAGAAAAAGAGTTAGATCTTTTTATTTTGTTAACCCATTTAAGCTACTTTTTTTTTTTTTTCATTTAGGAGAAACTTCACAGCAGGAAGGCGAAAACTAAGGCCAGGTGGCCACTGGACTGACTGTGCTTCAACTCCTCCTCCTTCAACTGAGGAGCTATGCATGTAGTTTAACTTTTTCTACCACATTTTTTCCTTCCACTCAACTTTCCATTAATATAATTGGATATAGCTAATTTATTTAGCCAGGACTCTTTGCAGATTCCCCACCTTTTGAAGGTTGTTAGTGACTGTCTGTTGGGTTTCCATATTTGTGGAAGCCAATATTTCTAGAAGGTTTTATTTTATATAACCTAGAGTTAATGCAACCTTTAGCCATTATATGCTAAACATAAAAGCAAACCCCTGTCTGTAATAATAGCGTATTGAACTATTAAAACAAATAAATTTTTTGGCACTATAAACAGCATCAGCAGTTCAGTAGGGCTGTTTTGTTCGCTCTCTCTTTTTGTTGACACCCCTTCTATAATCAGTTCATAAAATAATTGCGAATGTGCTGAACTCTGCAGCACCACGTGTTAACCAACACTGCTTCCGAATACTCATCTATAAGCAACAACGTCACAATAACAATACCTAGAGGTCATAAGTAAGCACGTGGCAAAGGTAAAAACGCATACTTTAGCCTACTTTGGTTTTGGATTGTTTCCAATCGAACAGTGAGGCATCATGCGTTCTTCTTTTAACAAACTGGAGTTGTAACGTCAAAACAACAAGGCTCAACTTCAGCGACCCCTTGCGGTTTGGATGATTCATAATTCTAAAGCACGTTGAATGAACAATTGAAGACTGCGCGGCTGTCATGCACGAGGATAATGCTTCTTCTTTCCGTTAGAAATCAACCCGTTGGTATATCGTGATCATTTTAACAAGATATCGCCTACAATGTTTCATAATTTAATTCTCATTAAATACCGACCTACGGTATGTGGGGGCCGCGTGGCCTAATGGATAAGGCGTCTGACTTCGGATCAGAAGATTGCAGGTTCGAGTCCTGCCGCGGTCGCTCTTTTCTTACCGGCTTTAAACTTAATCTTCAATAAAATCCATAAAATGGTCAGCTTGAATTAGTTTGCACAAATTTAGATTTTTATAAGCTGTAAATGTACTCAGGCTATTGTAGGTTATTTGTCACTGTGTTTTTTTTGTTAGCTGTAAAGCTGTGGGATGATGAGGAGGCTGCAGATGGACAGGAGAGGGCGCAGAGAGCTGCAGGGATAAGAGACCCATAGACACCTCTAAAGGCTGATCCTTTCAAATCATGCATCTCCTGTTTTATTATTTGGAATTTCCAATAGTTGAGGCAAATGTAAAAGTGGAAGATCAGTCATGCTTAATCTTCAAGGTTATTTTACAAATAAAAATCTTAAAGATGTGATGTGCATTTACCCTAAAGACATGCATTTCCTTTTTTGTAAAGGAAAGGTTAAGCCAGGTTGCAAGGTAAATGTCTGTAAAGAAATATTTTTTTAGTTTGGGTACAAATTTTCTGTTGGATCAAGTTCTGAACTTTGCCAGGACTATTCTAGTACATGTTTGAATTATTAAGTAAGGAAGACCAATTAAAATTATCAATAGAACAAAAAACACAAAGAAATAAAAAAAATTACAAGTACAACAAAACGGTTTTCCAGGTGTTTTTTAAAAGCCCCACAGAGTCAATAAAGCAAAGCAGCAGAGGAAAACTATTCCTCAGTTTGGGAGACACAGAGAGAAAGATAGATTTTAGCCTTATGGAGTACAACCAGGGGATTCTTGGCTGGAGATGAAATGCTGCTCAATTTCTAGTCAAAGGCTGACATCAATGATGAGGAGCCTGGTCCTTTAGAGGCCCCCAGGCAAGAATAAGTACATGAAACCATACTCTAAAATACTAAAACTGGGTTCTCCTTTAGTTGATGCTATAATGAGGAGGTGATGCATTTATTCAAAACGAGGTGCGCTAGAAGAGGGATGCATCTAAAACATGAAGTACAGAAGGCTCATTACGACTTAGAGTGACTGATCTTAACATTTTAATGGTAACTAATGCTCTTATTTTAGATTTAGGTTGTTTTAAAGAAATTCTTCCAGTTTTGTTGTTCTATATCTAACCCAACCAATTTTTTGCTCTTTTTAGTCTTCTGCTGGAGAAATGCATCCCAACAGCATGATGCTACCTCCACCATGTTTCCAAGAAACAGTAGTAACAGAGAAAACTATTGGAAATTCCAAATAATAAAACAGGAGAAGCATTTAAAGAAGATTTAAAAGGCTCGGCCTTTAGAGGTGTCTATCTATATCTAACCCATCCAATTTATTGCTCTTTTTTTGTCCCCTGCTGGAGAACTGCATCCCAACAGCATGATGCTACCTCCACCATGTTTGATTGCAGGGCAGGCTTGTTCAGGTTGATTTAAATATGCTAGCTTTCCACCTTACATAGTTTTTCGGCAGTTCTCATCAAAACACGTTTGTACGTTAGATATATCGACAAAATTTGTAAAATGCAGCACTAATCTGTTTAGTGTCCCATCACAAAGTGGTGAATCTGGTTTCCTTTCCCCTAAAGGCTGCTGGACTTGATTTCCAACCTCCGGACAAGCCCCTTTTTACCAGACAAAGCCTCCTCCTGGTTTGTGAGTATAGCTGCATAATTCACTGCCTTCCATTGTCTTGTTAATATGCCTGAGAACATTAAGATAATATATTTCCTCTTTCAGACAGACATTATCTTTGGAATGCTGTAGGAACTGTGGTTCTCCAGTCACTCTGGAGATTCTGTGGATGAGAAACATGCATAAACATAACTAGCTGGTTTCCCCTCCGACATGAATTGGTTGAATGTTGTGGATTAATTTTATTTCATGTCATGCAAATGTTGATAATGGATGACGTCAGTAAATTGACATATTTTCACTTTTTTAAATTTATTTTGGTCTGTTCCTTATAGCATGCAGGCTTTCTCCTTAAATCACCACAGGGGAATGAATACATAAGCAACCTAAGCTTGAAAGCAAACACACATTCTTAGATGTTAATTATCTTTAAAATCCTGTTTCATGTGTTTTTACTACAACTTTAAGTTTAAAGTGCTTTAACTTAAAATATATGTGAGGGTTTAGCTTACTTGGTTGAGCAGTTTAATTTTTAACTATGCAGTTTAGAATATGCATAGTCCAAAAGACATGAAAAATATGAGTTATTTTCAAAAACAACCATATAGATTAAAAGATTAGAACCTTAAATATACTGTAAATCCCAGCCATAATGAGTTTGGCATGGTCTGGAAAATGAATCTAATCTGCTATCAGTGTCTGTTTAAAAATTTGACATTATTAAAAGTAGTTAAATTGTCCAGAAACAAATTTGGAGGGAAGTTTTCACTCAAATCTTGGTCACAGGTCCTCATGTTCATTAGCCAAAATGAATAAAAAGCCTCACGCCTCAAAGATCTTGTATTTCTGAAGGGAGCTCCCACTTCAATTGAGTAAAGACTCTTAAGATCCTATGCAACTTAGTGAAGATATTAACATAACTTTACTTTGTCTGATGATGATGTGCTCTACTGAAATATTTCCCAGACTTCTGAGAATATACCCAAAGCATTATAGTTCCATTGTATAAATTATAACCAAAAACACCACTATTTCTGTTTATCTTATCACTATTAGTAGAATTATGTTAAATATTTATCTTGATTTATCTTCTTTTTGAGTTTCAAGACTCAAGTCAGTGTCTCGAGTTGTGGAAACAGGGAGTTTTAGATCCATATGTAACAAATGGCTTTTTATTTTTTTTTAAGCATCTCTAAATATGTTTTTATCTCAAAAGATAAAAGCATTTTCATGTCTGGTAGTTATTGTTTTTATGATTACTGAGAGAATTGATTCTTTTTTGCAAAAGCTTTCACTTTTCTCGTGCTCCAACACTATATAACCACAACCTGCAACATATAACCATAACCCTTATGTTTGAAATTTGCAAAACACTGTTTAACATCCCTTAATACAAATAGTATGGTACAGCTGCAAATGTAATACATATAGAACCACTACACATAACACATTGAATGTGAGAATATGCAAAGAAGCCCATCTACAAAAAGCCAAAAAACTCAGAGAAAAAACACAAAACTCAGAGAAAAAACACAAACCTCAGAAAAAAAACACAAAACACAAAAAAAAAACACAAAACTCAGAGAAAAAACACAAAACTCCGAGAAGAGACACAAATCTCACACTTTTTCCACATAAAAAACAAAAAAAACATAAAAATCAGTTGAGTTTTTTTTTCTATTTCTTCTCTTCTTTACCCTTCTGCATACAAATCAGCGTGTAGTGGGACATCTTTCCATCATTTGAAGATCTCTACAGAGTTCGCGCTCTGTGATTGGTCAATTCGCGGCCCTGGTCCTGGAGTGATGTCAGCGCTGGAGCTGGTTGTCAGACAGTGGAGGTAGAGCGCAGGCTGGAGGAGAGTCAGACACTGGAGGACTGAGGATGGAGAAGGATCTAATGCCTCTGTCTGCATGGAAACCAGAAGGAAACGCAGAGAAAATCCAGTCGGGAAATTCGGCTCGACTTCAGCTTAAAGACATTTATGCATTTTTTTCTTTCCCTGCTACTGAGGTAAGAAACGCTTCTGGATTCTTGCAAAAACTGCTTAGGTTTCCTGACATTTTACATTTAATTCATTGGTCCAACATACACATTTTTCAGATCGGTGGTTGTATCGTATAGATAATTTTATTTTATTATTTTTTTTTTTGCAAAAGCAGACACCTTTAAAGGATGGAAAAATTTTGTGTTTTTTTATATATAAAATA